CACAACAGAAGATACTAATATCTGATTCAGAAGCTAGTTGTAATCATATAGGTGTAATGCAGAACTGGTTATCACTTTCTCTTAAAAGAATCCTTCATGGTCACTACTCACTAGCCCCTTACCATGAACTGCTTGGAATTTTGATGAGTTAAAAAAATTTACCTCGTTTTGGGATAAGAGGCAGACTTTAAGCCAATCCTTGAAGTTGCTCCACTTAAATTAGGTTTTCTGCTCCACCTCAGGACTGCATAAGTTGCAAGGGTTATATATGAAACTTCTGAGACTTCATTCTCCAATATTGATAAACAAGGCTTTAGATGCAGTGCTCTCACTTGATAGGCCATAAACTGCACGTATATAAAAAAAAAAAAAAAAACAAAAAAAGATCAGTGTATATAACCTTGAAACAACTAATTTACACTTTGGGTGCAAATTCTCAATCAATGCCTTGCTCAAGAGGTAGTTGAAAGGCTTTTCCAGGGTCATACAGAATTATCTTAAAAGCTTTTTCTTCAATTTTCAAAAAAAGAGTAGCCATGCCGTGCCTAGAGAGTTCTTTCACAGGTGCATGTTCACATAGAATTTTTCTTCTCTCATGTTCATTATGAAGAAGAAACTGGCATTTAAGTGTCATACTTCATACTTGTTCTTGTTCATCCAGAATTCCTTAATTTTTAGATTCTTCAATACAACCAACAAGCCATGATCAAATTCTCCATTATACAGTTCTCAATCGTCGAAACAACACAACTAAGGCAGTAAATTTTAGTTTCTTTCATGCATTTCCAACATTCCCTCTCCAGAATTCATTACATGTTCCCCATTCAACAAGGGACTTCTGTGACCAAAATCCCCCTTATCCCCTCCCCCCAAACTCCCCCATTTTTTTTATAGGAAAAAAAAAAAAACACATCTACTCGCCAAAATCCTTTCTTATTGCCGAAAATCAGTTCCCTTTTCTATTACAAGTACATTCTTACATCAGGAAAATACCAGGTTCTGTTAATAATGTTTGATAATGAACACTGTCGGAAGAACACTTTACAAAAACAAGATGCAACAAGCAGCAATAGGAACAATAAGCAAATGCAAACAAACCCATAACCATCGATAAAAGAAACTAAAGCATAATCAGAAATTTAGACTGTAATTACAGTATCAATTTCCTAGGGAGTGAATACGGAGGAAAATTGGGTTCATTTCAAAAATGAAATTGAAGAAATTAAAGGCATTCGAAATCCTAACCTTCAAGCACGAGTAGAAAGCGCCGCCGGCGAAGTTGAGGATTCCTGGCTGTGCTGAGGCTTCCGCTGTCAGCAGACAGTGTTACTACGTAGAGAAAGCAGGAAAGAAGAAAGAACAGTAAACAAAATCTAAACGAACGCCGTCGTTTTTCTCTTATCCGTTGGTGTTAGTTGATAAGTTCGAAAAATAAAATGACTTAATTGGGAATTCAAGAAAAGCTCAAGGGTTTAATCAGCTTTTTCATTTTGTTGCTTCTCCTCGCTTGCCAGTGTTTGACAAAACTGATGATGATTCATGCAGGTGGCTCAATTTTTTTAGGTTGAGTTGCTTAGTTTAGATTGTAATTATTGAAATGTTATTTTTTTTTTTAATAGAGGGGAATTTTTCAAGGGAAGGAAAAAGTAAGACTTGAGAATAGAATACAAATCATTTATATCCAAACGTACACTTTCTTCAAATGATAATCATTAAGTCATTTAATGTTGAACGAAATTATTGAAATGTTATTATAAAATAATATAGAGGGTAGTTTTATTTAGTAGATTTAAAGGTTAAACTACATAATACCATAAAAAACACTTATGTAATTATAATTTTTTAAAATTTTGTTCTATATAATGCAATGTGACATCAAATGTGCATATCAAATATGAATCATATGTAATAATACATAATTATATGTCACAATATACAAAATATTGTAAGAATAATACTATATTTCAATTGTTTAGATTTTCTAAAAAAACTTTTCTTATTCACATTTAGTATACTTTAAAAAAAAACCTATATTTATAAAATTATTCCACAAAAAAGTAATTAAACAAAGTAAGTTTTTAAATCTTGGAAATCATTAAAAAGATAAAACAATGCTTAAAATTGGTAATTTATTTTAATTTAGAATTGTATATGAGATTCATATTTTGCAGGTTAAATTAAATATTAAGAAGATATATTTAAATTATATTGATCTTATATATTCAAAAAAATTAATTTTTTAAATGTTGATTTCATGACTTAAATTTTAAACCCACTTATAATATAAAACTTACTTGGATTCAACCTTGGAATTGGATTAATGAAGAATCCTTTTCCCAAAAATGTTTTCTAATCTTGAAAAGGTTAAATCCCTGATTCAGTCCCTCAGCTTTCATTTTTGAACTAAAATTATCCTTGAACTTCAAAAAGTACTGAAAAAATCCTTGAACTTCAATTTTCGAGACCAATTTCGTCCTTCCGTCGACGGAAGTGCTAGATGGCACGTTAAGTTGCCACGAAATCAATTCTTGTTTGAAATCTTCAATTACGTGGAAAATAACTTAACTCATTATCATCCACATCATTTTAATTAATTTATATATTAAAAAATTTTAAATTCCTTAAATACCCCATTTTCATCTTCCATCCCCTCTCGTCTCTCTCTATCCTCAGATATCTCCTCATCTTGCAACCCAATCAGCACCGATCATCCCTCATTACCCCAGTCATCCCTCATTGCTCAGATCATCTATTACCACTCCAATCACCATCTACTTCTTCCCCAAACCTCCTCTCTAATAAAACTCAAATCTGGTTCCTCGCACAATAATAATGATCAATAGATCTGATTCAAAAAATCAATTCCTCTGAAAATTCTACCAAATCTGTAAAGAAAAATGTAAAAAACACAATATCCCTTCAATCAACACCAACAGTAACTAAATCTGAAAATTCAAGCAATCAGAAGCCACACAAAACTCTAAATCCCATTCAAGCATGACTGCAAGCCAACAAGGAAACAGAACAAAAAACCCAGGCGGGTTCGACTTAAACCCAGGTGCTGGGTTCGAAACCCAGGGCTTGGGTTCGAGGAACCCGCACCTGGGTTCTTCGAACCCAAGCGTCCTGGGTTCTTCGAACCCAAGCGTCCTGGGTTCTTCGAACCCAAGCGTCCTGGGTTCTTC